GTTAAGGATCTTCAAAATATTACGGCAAATATATTACAAGTCGCTAAAAGACAAAAAAGTAGACAAAATTCCTGCGCATGAAAAGATAAAGTAGAATTGCCTAGGCAATCTCAAGTAAAAGCATCTAAGCCCAACGTATATGAAGTCATTAACAATGACGAAGTACGTAAAGTAGTGACCTTGCATGTGAATAATAATCTATGTTTTTTCAAACATGGAAGAAAAATTACAGCAAGATATGATGTTGGAGATTTGTATACTAATGGAAGTTGTAACTTAGGTCAGTTTTTCCAAAGGCTTGAACTGCAGGCTGGTAAACAAAAAATTGCCCAACTCAAAGTGGCACCATGGGAAAATATCTTTGAAAATATTTCAATAGATAAATTTAAAAAAAATGGGCAACAAAATATTAAAATCATTAAGAGTAGCGCTACTCAACCCGGTGACCCTAATAACAACTAATAATGAAAAAGAAGCAATATTGTCTACATAACATGACGACCCTATTCAAGGAGGACATTCAGGTATAACAAAAACCTTGGCCAAGGTCAAAAGACACTACTATTGGAAAGGAATGAGTAAAGACATAACCCAGTACATACGTAAATGTCCAAAATGCCAAATGTCAAAAACGACAAGACATACTAAAACTCCTTTAACACTTACAGAAACACCAGAAATGGTTTTCGATAAGGTAATTGTGGATACGATCGGTCCACTGCCGAAATCAGATCAAGGAAATGAATATGCAGTCACCTTAATATGTGATCTGTCAAAATACCTTGCTGCCATACCAGTACCTAATAAAAATGCAAAAACGGTAGCAAAGGCTATATTCGAAGAAATTGTTCTAAAGTACGGTCCAATGAAGACGTTCATTACGGACATGGGAACAGAATACAAAAATTCTTTAATCGAACACCTATGCAAAAACTTAAATATCAAACATATAACATCGACAGCACACCATCATCAGACTGTCGAAACTGTGGAACGAACCCACAGAACCTTTAATGAATTTATACGTACATACATCTCAACTGATAAAACGGATTGAGATATATGGCTAAAATATTTTGTTTATTTATTTATTCAACACGACACCCTCTATGGCACATGATTATTGTCCATATGAGTTAGTGTTTGGTAAAACTACAAAAATAAAACCTCTATATAATGTAGATGACTACGCAAAAGAATCTAAGTTTAAGAGAGTTTAAGAGAGCTAGGTTAATGTTAGAATCTCATAAAAAGAAACAGAAAATTAGATATGACAAAAATACCTTAGATTTTGATTTAAAAATAGGAGATAAGGTTTTATTGAAAAATGAAACAGGGCATAAGCTAGACTTTAAATATACCGGACCTTATAAGGTTGAAAGTATAAAAGAAAACGATAACATAGTAATTTCAAATAACAAAAATAGAAAACAAACAGTACATAAGGATAGGTTAAAAATTTTTATTTCATTATCACTTTAATTCTCTTATAAATATATCACGTATGACCATACATAAATGAAGAACCATAATTATAATGGAAATATAATACGATATTAAAAAAAAAAAAATAAAATAATAATAATACTTTTTGATTCGAAAAAAAATAATAAATTTAATAAATAACACAAAAAAAAATATTTTTTTATTATTATAAAACAAGATGTTCATTTATATTTCATATACAACTACATAGAATTACGTTATTTTTCAAAAGGAGGGAGATGTAGTATGCATGTATCATTGTAGAGAGTACCCACTGTACCGACACCAACATTGTGTTACAGTGTACTTAAACAAATACAAAAGTGCCGGCCGCTAAACTTTTGCGGCCAGCCGAAATATGAATACGCCTCAGAGCCCAACTTATGGGAAGTGCTAGTGTCAGCATGTTCCCATGGCCTGAGTGCAGACACATACAAGGCATTCATGTACAACTTCTCTCGCGCTCTCAGTGCTACCAGCACAAATACAATTGCGAGCATATACTTCGATATATATATGACGGCCGCTGCCAATGTTTGCAGGCAGCGCAGCCGCAAATAGCTAGCTGTAAGTCATTCATATTTTGACGATTCCCAAACTGCCCATGGCAGTTGAAACAAATTACAAATCTTTCAATTAAAATATCATAATGGCAAACATAATTTGAAACACAACACTATCTATGATCGTGGTAAACATAGAATAAAAGTCAGACCAATTTACATAGCCTCCAGCGAATTTTGGAAGCTCCAGTGGGGGCAGCAATGCTGCCCTATGTCGAGGCTGACGCTGCTGGGGATCGAAAACTCCCGGAGCGATGCCGTCAGCATAAGTTGAGTGCGAAAGAAGCTGTGAAGCGCGTTTGGAAATTTGGGATCGAACCGATGACTTCAGAATTACGAGAATGTCATCAAATTTCTCACTTAAATCACTTTCAAATTCATCGAAATCCAATTTTTCGAGCTCACCGAGAACCTTTTTAAGTGACTCTTAAAGCTCATCAATCAACTCCAACCTCACATGAAGACCGGTTTCGTCGCATGAAGCTAACTCCGCTTTTGATAGGGAATCCACTAAGCGCTCCACTCTATTAAATAAAGCCGTTGCCTTGCGCTTTACAAATATTGCCCTGTTTGCATCAGCGGTAACATCTCCAAAATTTCCCGTAGGCATGGCTACAACAACAACAACTACAAACCCAGCCCGAAACTCGGCGGGAAGATGAGCGCAAAGCAAACGAGGGAATAACAGCCCGTTACTTGGCTATGTACGCTTCTATGTATAGCTGATTTTGCGCCTTATATGTAAATTTCCGCAATCACCAACTGCTATTTATTCATAGCGCTCACTGCATTTAAGGCCTTATGATTGTTGAAGAATGAAAAAGTTAATAAATAGACTTATAAGATTTGCACTTTGAATTATTTACGCACAAATCACGTCGGGGTCACCAATGTTGAACTAATAAGCTTTTTTATTAGTTATTGCTAAATTAAAAAATACGAGTTATTAGCGAAAGAGAGTACAGCAGGCGAGATGAGAGTGCATATAATGTCGAGATCAGAATTCGTACTGATTTTACAAAGGGACAGCCAGCCGAATGCTGGCTCAAGAATGCAGGTACCCAAAAAACGAGAAGGCTAGATAGAGAGAGCTACCTTTCGCGATGCAATTAATATAAGAGACCGAGTTAAGACGTTAATTAGCTGCTGCGGCTGCGTGACCCGACAGGCTTAATCTAGTAAAATGCAAAAATTTGCGAATTGGGACGGAATATTGTAAAGCAATAGCTTTACTTTTAAAATGGATTCATGTAGCTTTCTATCGAGTGTGTTCCCAAGGAAATATTTCCATTTGTTTTTTTTATTGAAATAAGTACCGGAACGTACGGGTCGCGATTGTACGATTTTTCCATGTTGTTTTATTAATAGTTAATTGCACAATTTTTCGCCCTCTTTGGGACTTTATCTTCTTATTAGATTGCAATAAAGAGATTTGGTAGAAAAGGTGCAAACAAATCGTATGTTTTCGCTGCGAAATAATTAAACACAAAAATGCCCTTAAAATTAGCTAAAAATGATAAAATGTAAACTTTTTAGTTTTTAGGGAAATTTATTTAACAAAACAAATGAAATATGCTATGGTTCCACTGTATTGTGAAAATATGGCCATTTATTTATGTAAATACGCAAAAATACGATGATTATGAAGATTTTTCTCTTTTTGGTCCTGGTTGACCATTTGGCGGATTTGCCCATATATGCTCATCTTTCTGCCATAAAAGCGTCCCCGTGCTAACGAAAAGTGAAGACTACCCCCCGCGGTGGAACCCAGAAGATTCTACTTCGGTTAGGCACAAGCAGTATATTTATTGTAGGTGTCTAACAACTAAATTATTTTGCCACATCCACTCTAACGTCCACAAGCCGCCCACAAACTTCAAAAAATTGTCCATATGAACGCTGGTATCTCGGAAACTAGAGGGTTGGTGCGCGGCCAACTTATTCTATGGAATAATTAACAATTTAATCAAGTTGTCCTTTTTGTCTCCCCTTCTATCTCTCCAATAAACTCAATACCAATTTCAATTATCGATTTCCGATAAGGTCAATGCGAACTTTGAATTGCTGAAAAACAATGATATGGCGCGGAAGGGGCTTCTCGTTTTACTTTGATTCATCGTTACGTCATTTTTGATTCAAGCGTAACCGGTGCCGGTCCTCGCACATCAATTTTCTCCCGACCAAGAGGTTTCTCTTTCTTCTTTCTCTCTTAAATGGGAACTTAATTTTTTTAGCGGCTGGCTTTTGGTTTTTCGTATTTGTATGCATTTTATTTCTGCTTAGAATATTTTATTTTTCTTCATAATCAAAAAATGAGAGTTGAGATCTTAAATTTAGATTCCTTTGCTTTGTTTTCAGCGCAAGTTTGTTATGCGAATATGCCACGCCTTTTATGATGCCCACAAACAACCCAAAACTGTGGCGCCCACAATTTTTATGATTTAAAAAATGTTTACCTAAAATGTATTATTCTCGTCAATACCTATCGAATGATATAAAAACAAAGTTTGCCATGCCCACTTAAACGTCCACAAACCTTGCTAGAAAAAATTTTAACTAAAATGTATTAATCTGTTTTTATAAAAAACAGTTTGACGTGCCCACTTTAACGCACATAACGCTTACATCTGTCTGTCACGCACAACCGTATATTGAGATCGCGACTAGTTGGCACAGTACAATCTCGCTTTGCTGCAAGTATATGCCTGTTTTTATTTGGTCCCGATTTTCATTTGGTTTCTGATGGTCGAGGCACTAGATTTTTTTGCTGATTTTAATATTATTTATACATTTTACCACATTTTTACCGTATTTTTACATTCAACTATGCATAGAAATTGCAAATAATTAATGTGAATTCTCTAAATAGAGCCACTGTCCTGAGTCAGGACACATGACTTATTGACTTGATTATTCAAATCTATTATTTTCGCCTCGATTATGTAGTGCTTCATGGAGGAGGTGAAAGAGCACCCGTACGCCATGCAATGTGATGCCGCCAAGCCGCTGATAGTCGACACTTTTAAATTCACGTACGACTTGGACTTTTTAAATCCGCAGGCAGACGAGGTAATGATTATTATTTTCGCCAAACTTCACTTACCATCTTACTTTCCACTACAATCTTAGCTAACTACTCCACCGCTCGCCATGCCGCGGCTGCCACACGAGGTAATTTTTGCAATTGGTGGCTGGAGCGGTGGAACCTCGAAGGGTTGTATGGAGACTTACGACACACGGTTCAACGCTGAGGATCCTGCCGGTCAACGCGCCTACCACGGCACCGCAGTGCTTGGCTTTAAAATATTTTCGATTGGCGGATCCGATGGTGTTGAGGACTTCAACACCTGCCGTTAAAAAAAAGTGGAACGAAATCGCTCCAATGCACTGCCGTCGCTGCTACGTAAGTGTAAGCGAGCTGATCGGCATGATTTATGCTATAGGTGGCTACGACGGCCATAACCGTCTGAACACTGCGAAGCGGTATAACCCAAAAACCAATCAGTGGTCTATTATTCCCCCTATGAACATGCAGCGTTCTGATGCAAGCGCGTGCACCCTGAATGGTCGCATTTACGCCACCGGCGGATTTAACGGCCAGGAATGCTTAGACAGCGCCGAGTTTTACGACCCAATAAACAACGCGTAACCTCGAATAGCTAACATGAATCATCGTCGGTCCGGAGTGGGCTGCGTGGCTTTTAGGAGCCAGATGTGCGTCATCGGTGGCTTCAACGGTACAGCGCGTCTATCTACCGGAGGACGCTTCGATCCGGAGATGCAAAGTTGGCACTTCATCCGCGAAATGAATCACTCGCGTAGTAACTTTGGACTAGAGATTATTGATGACATGATCTTTGCAATTGGCGGCTTCAACGGCGTCTCGACCATCTCTCATACAGAGTGCTACGTTGCGGAATCAGACGAGTGGATGGAGGCCACTGATATGAACATTGTCCGTTCCGCCCTGTCTGCCAATAACGTAGTAGGGCTTTTAAACAAGAGAGACTATATTCATAAAGAACGGGACCGCCTAATGGAGGATCGTGACCTAGACAACAGACGCGGATTTCGTATGCAGCTGCGTAACCAACGCCATCGCATCATGAAATTCGCCGTCCCACCTAGGCGACACCTATTAAAACTCTTACCCTGAATTATGTATCTAAGCACACCAGCGATAATACGATTTCTAAGGGACAACAAAAAATCGTGTGCAGATCACCACAAACGATTAAACGTTAACGTGAGGCATGGTATCTTTACAAGTACTGCAGCGAAGCCCACGTCCGTAGAAACCGCTTTTCAAAAAACTTTTCCACAGCCGTTAGCACAAATAAAAACAAACACAGCGTGTGGTTACCAAGTCGTCATCTTTTTTCATTTATTTAACGGATTTATAAAATTGGACATTCCAAGTTCAAAGTAAACCGAGCCATTATATTTAACCAAAATTATAGACTATCTAAATTTTGTAAAATAAAGATTTAAGTTCAGAGGGCTTTCACTATAAATATATCATCATCGTAAAGTATAGCGAATTTTAATACCACTTTAATTGGTCCTAATATATATATTTTTTTCGGCAACAGATGTATATTTCCTTAACTGGCTACTTATGTATAACTTAACTAATTACAAAAAGGAAACAAGGCTTTTCTTTTGAGTCCAGGCTATAAATAAGCAATGCCCGGTAAATGGGCTCAAAAAGGCATACTTTTTTGGTATAAAAAAGGCTTAATAGCTCAGCTTCAAGAAGCTGGATTCGGTAAAATCGTTTGTCTTCTGTTCTTCCACGTTGTCCACCCATTAGAATTTTGCAAAAAATCTGCCACATTTTTCACCTAATTTCTTCTTTGAATCTTTTTTCTAGATTATTATATATTTTCACAATGTGGAGTGCACCTCTTTATAAGCCAACATTCAATGACATTCAGGTATTACAACCAAAAAAAATTTTATTGAATGGAATTCCGTCATATTCTTTCAAAGAATTCCGTATTTCATCAGAATGCATGATGTCTCTCTAACCTGCTTACGTATTTTATAAAGAAAATTTATACAGTTGTTCATCTTCTTCGTAAAAAAACCATTGTTTGTTATGCACCTGTACGGAGCCCTGTCAGTTGTTGAATACGCAGCGAATTCGCCTAGCAACGGCGCTGCGTGAAAATAGAGTTTGGTGAATGCAGTTAGAGAGAGTTTGGAGAGTACGAAGAAAGTTTGGTGAGTACGAAGATAGAGAGAGTTTGGAAAGAAGGGCAGAGAGAGAGAGCGATAGAGCGAGAAAACGCCAGCGCATCGTGAGCGAAGGAACAACTTTACAACGCCGCACTTAGGACCCTAGTGTGGTGCCGCGAAAGGTCGAACGGTAAAACGGAGGACTTTGGACCCTGACGTGGTGGCGTTAGCGGTGGAGACAAGGAGAGGCCGAGGATTAACGTTATTAGGAGGCCTTTATAAGCCGGCACAGCACTGGAAGCTGCACCAGTCATCGAGAATCAAATCGCGAGTGAACAACGTCGAAGGAAATACAGCCGTGAAAAACAGCAAGTTGCAAGATCGCTTCGTCGAGACGTTCTGGACAGCATAAGCATACAGGGTGCTATAATTAGTACAAAAAACGCTAAAGAGCTAGTGTTGACTAAGATTTGATGTAAATCGTGGCAAGGTAATAGGATAGTTGCTGTGCGTTAGTCCAACAGGAATCTTTAAAGTTAGGGGGCTTACCAAATATACGGAATCAATATCGCCTCTGATGAGATTATGCATGAAAATGGTACGATGCATAACTCTACGATTTACTAGAGTAGGGAAATTAATTAATAGCAATCTACTCGAGTGAGATGGCAACCTGACGTTTCGATATCAGTTCAAACCACGTAAGGCAAAAAGAAGAAATTGTGTCTGTACGGACTCTATACGCTCAACGTGCACTTGACACTGTGGACTCCAAACCGAAGAACGGTATACGATCCATGGGCATAACCTTGCATTTAAGATAGTTTAAGTTCAAAAGGTTGTCTCGACACCATTCCTGGAATCTATTAATATCTGACTACAAGCAGAAACTAGACTCAATAATATTATATGACAAACAAAGCTTAACATCATCAGCATACATTAATACACGAGAGTGACTCGGTAGAGGGAAGATCATTAATAAAGAGACTATAACTTGAAGTGTTAATGTGGCTTACAGAGTGAAAGGCCTTACTAAAATCTGTATATCTGCCATTTTTAATAAATTTATATGTTAAAAGATAAGTAAATTTAGATGATGAAATAAGCAAATTGTTCGGGCACAAAACTTGAGCACACACCCAGGGAGTCAATCTACCCGATGGTGTTTCTAAATCACTTACGGGAGCACTTTCGGTAATTGCAGGATGAAAACAAGGAAGAACGCTATAGTCAGCTAAATGGCTAGATCGACTCGGCTAGTGATCCTGATCAATAATATATATACTTTATGGGGTCGGAAACGCTTCCTTCTGCCTGTTACATACTTTCCGACGAATCTAGTATACCCTTTTACTCTACGAGTAACGGCTATAAATATAATTTGCCCTTTTTAAGTGATAAGGGTAGTTAGAATAAGACCAATAAGTCGAACTATAAGTAGTTTGGAAGAACTCAGCAAATAAATACACAATTTCTGAATCTGTAGATGTCCCAGACGGACAGACTGACAGACGGACATGTCTAGATCGACTAGGATAGTGATCCTGATCAAGAAAATCTATTTTTTATGGAGTCGGAAACGCTTCCTTCCAGCTGTTGCATACTTTCCGACGAATCTAGTATATCCTTTTACTCTACGAGTAACGGGTATAAAAAGTATCTTATCAAAATGACGGTACAAAAATAAAGCGAGAATTGAATAAAATTAAAAACAAGATAGGAAGTTAAGAGGTGGTTTGGTTTGATATCAGAAGTTTTTGTTGTTTCCTTTCCGACCCCATAAAGTATATATATTCTTGATCAGCATCACTAGACGAGTAGATCTAGCCATGTCCGTATGTCCGATTGTACGCAAACTAGCCTCTCTTTTGAATCTATCGGGATGAAACCTTTCCAAAAGTCCTATTTCTATTGCATAGATAGAAATGATCAAAGAACTATTTAAAAAAAAAAAAAATTACAAGTCTCGGACGACTATATCCCATAACTCTCATAGGAATAATCAAAAATATATTTTTTAAAAATGTTAAAAAATTAAAACTTTGATTATAATCATCAAAATACTGCTACGTAACAACTAAATACAACATGTCCAACGTGTCAAGTCCATGTCGGTATGACTACTACCCTAAAAAATTTTATATCTTTGGATAATCTTCAAAGTCAATATCTATTAAATTCTGGATGGAGGAGTGGAGACGAAATGTCTACGGGACCCAACTTTAACTTTTCTGTACCATTAAAAAATTTGTTGGGAATTGTAAACACGATCTAGTGTTGATGCTTACTAAAAATTTTGGCGATGTGTTTGAACAAACCAGAAATTAACAAACTTGTAAACTGGAAATGACAAAGATAAAGTGACAAATTGCCCATGTAACTCCGAGCGATTTTGCAAAAATTAAGATGTACGATGTTATTAAAAGTGTTGTAAGCCTACCGATCGCATTCCGGAGTTGGGATTCAACACAGCTGAAACGTGAAATTGTCGGTTAGCCATGCAAAACCAAGAACTGCAATAATTGGAACTATACTAAATGGAGAACTTATTCCAACTTGAAAGTTCACTTGAATTCTGAGTCATATCCATATGATAATCTGAATATCAATTTTAGTAAATGTATAGAAGGTTTAAGTCTAGTTACTATAATCGTAAATCACAACCATTTTTGCCCCAAATGAATTTAAATTAAAATAACATGGGTATTGTGGTTGATCTTTCTTATCAAAACAAATCAGTGAAAACTGGTCCTATTGATGTGAGAATTTCAATAGAAATGAAGACACCAAGTCATGAAAATATCTGTGGTTTGCTGATGCTGCGGCTTTCGTACGTTGGATGCGGCGAACTGCGTCGAGCTGTATGGAGAAACACACGATACGCGAAGTGCCAGTTGACCGAAAAGTAAATTACGCAAAATGATAATATTACAAAATAAGCGGGGGAGCGACCGCGTTGCCAAAAGAGACGGAACCCCGACCAGTCGCCTACGCATTAAGCCTGCGTACAGGCGCCGGAGAGGATCCACCCGAACACCGTCTTCTGGGCTACTGGCAGTCGCTCGTCGACCATGTGGAAGCCCGGCTGTATCACCTTCGGGTAGACGTCCGCGCCCAGGATCAAGGAAATGGTGGCTGGCCGATGAACACGCTCATCCGCGAGCGGTAGCTCCTTAAACTTCTTTACGACGGTCTCACTGAGCGCACGGATGGGGGTGCGGATGCGCACGTTCGGCTCGATCTTGAGGACCACCTCCAGCTTGATGGCCTGGTCGACCTTCGACGGAATCGTCGCCGTGCAGATGCTCTCATCGCCCACGTTTGTTGTCGGCAAACGAAACGCGGCGGCCAGGGATGCATCGATAGAGCTTGTCGGGGTGCACGGATCGATGAGTGCGGCGGTGTCGAACGTATTCTCCCCGGTCTCGACGATTAATAAAGCAGTCGGGAGGACGTTGACGCTATGACGCAGGAGAAGTGCCGCGAGCGATGGAGCTGGTGCCGAGGATGCTGAGCGCGGTGGAGGGGCAAGCGTTTTGGCGAGTTGGCGGATCTTGCCGGAGCGAACGCTGCGGAGAAGCGGGCTGTTGCTTGGAGCCGGACTTTTTCCGGGAAACAAGTTCGTGCATGTGGAGCAGAGTGTGATGGTTCTGGTTGCACGTTCTGCACCGGTCACCGCTACGACAGCTCCCAGTGGAGTGCTCGTGTGCGAGACAGTTCGCACAGTACTTGTTTATAAGAACTGTCCGCAGCCGCTTCTCTGCGCTCAGCTTTAGGAACCTCTGACACTTCCGAAGAGAATGGATTCCGCGGCAGACTCGGCGTCGGTAGGACTGATTACCTCTCGTACGTCTGCTATCCAATGCCTGAGCGCTACGTAGACGGGGAGCCATTTTTCTGTTTAGAGTGTGGATAAGGAAAAAACAAACAGGGCTGATTAACAACGACGTGGATAATGGCTACGGACTATGGTGTATAAGAAACGCTGCTCGTTACGAGGTAGTTTTGGACGGCTCTCTCTTGGAAGAAGAACCACCTTGGACACTGGACGTTTGACAATTCCGCGTGTCGTACGAATGTCGACTACGCGGACATTGCTATCGGCTCCCGGAAAACGGAGTCTATTCTTCCGAGTTGCCTCTCATTTGAGGGCAAATTAACATCCTTAATGACGACCAGATCGCCGACACTCAGATTTTCTGTGGGGACTTGC